ATCACGCGCGATTCGCGCCAGGCGGGTCAGTCGGAACTATTTCACTTCGCAGTATATGAATCCATAAACATTATATAGCTTACCACTCCCTTATTCGTGTCCTCCGCGGAGACGGCGTATGCTCTCCTGCCGTTGGACAAACGATCAACAACGGCGAGAGGTCGTCTCGTGGTCAAGCCAAATTTTGAGCTCTGGTTGGAAGAGGCATGTCTGGCAGTAGAAGCAAGAGAAATAGACCTCCTAGAGGCTGAGGAGGCAGCACCGCGCAGCATACCGCTGCCGGTGGCCTTGAGGGCTGTGGTACGAAGCATTGCGGGATTTTTTACAGCGTTAACAAAAACAAGGGATCACGACAAGAGAAGAGTTGGAAGCGCTTCTATTAGGAAGGCTCTAGAGTTGAAAAGATATAGGAATGCAAATCAAGTATAAGAGACCTAGTCCGTCCGTTAGCATATTTTTTTTTCTCGTCGACTGTTGTTGCCAGAGCTGCCGAGAATTTCAGACGGGCCAAGGGAAGGGCAGACGCACGATGTATCACAGAAAACAGGTGTCGACTAGAATTGCCGTAGCACCTGCACAGAAACCGGACTCATCAGAGAGCGCACGCACTCTGGATAGAAAAGATGACTTGGGGGAGAGGAGAGCTAGGTTGCAAAAGAACCTCGTGTCGGTAGACAGGAGAGAACAAGGAAGCAGGATCCTAGGAGCGAGAGAGGGTTTGCCGAGATCTACGGCTATGACGGGCTGTGGCTGTGGCTGGCTGGTTTCCTCTCTGCAGAAGCCACGTTGCTGACTCAGCCACACCCTGCCAAGCGGGCCGAAGTAACCGGCTGCGACCAGCGACGTACCGCCACACCTGGCCGGCCGGCTATGACCATTTCCCGGTACGGGTTTTTGCGGATGACCACGTCGGCTGGCCAATCAGGCATACGTCATTAGGTGATAGAAACTATCCGTGAACCAAATGAACCGTCCTGTAACCAAGATCATTCATTATATTGAAATAACTTCAAGCGGATCAGTCCGACATGCTCACTGCCAGAAGCACTAGACGCAGTAAATAGACACACATGAGGCAATCAATCATCTTATCATTAAAATAGTACAGATCTTCGCTTTCCGAGTCACATCTCAAAACATTAAAGTAGAATAGGTCAACCATAAGTGAGGCAGAGGCATTATGTAAGTAATTCGACCTGGAGGAAACGCTATATATACCGCCGCAACGGCATGTCTATTGGTTGTAATTGTGATCCCGGGGCTCTGGAAGGGTGCCAAACGTGCATAGTCCGCGGGGTTCATTCACCTTCAATACTGTTTTGTTGCTGGGAGAGGTTATGCGGTGGTCCCCACCTATCAATGGGAGAATCAGTCGCGCTTGTGCCACCGAAGGCATCCGGAGGAGCATTGTAGACTGTTGGGCTCACGTCAGAAAGACCAGTGAAACTTCCACGGTTCGAGGAAGGGTGCGGATGTGGAGGTGGACTTCCGCTACTGCTGCGGAGGCTTCCATTGCTCCCACCCCAGGCACCACGCCGGAGCCTCAATAACGCGCTGAGCGTCATTTCGTCCTCGATACTCCCCATGTCCACCAGTTGGGCCAGGCCAGGGCTTGACAGTGGATTCGAGTGCGCCGCTCCGTGAGCGGCTAATGAGATGACCGAATTGCGCGTACTCCACTCGCTTCGTTCGGTGATGGGCGTTAAACTGGGCTCCCTGAATTTACCACGGCTGCTAAAACTGCGGGTAATGCCTTCAATCCCGCGTGGTCCAAAATATCCGCCATTGGTGAGCTCCGAGGTACAATTTCCATATGCCTGTGCATAGAATCCGAATTCCTGGCCGTAGAACCCTTCGTCATCATTCTCCAAAGCCTCCGCATTGGCAGCGGCAATGATAGGGTCATCATAAAGAGCAGCGTCATTGTCGTCGTAATCGAAATCATCAAATACGGACTCGACGCCTACTACGTCGGCCAGCTGGCTCAAGCGACTGTCATCTGACACTAACCCCGAATGAGAATCCACGGTCTGCGTGACACTTTCATGGCCCAGAGACTGCTCACTAACACTGATGCAGCGTCCAAATCTGTCATTAGTGGCTGAGTCATTGGCTGCTTTAGCCAGAGCATTGTGCAGTGCCTCGAGGTTGTGTTCTGACAACACACCTCCATACGATTTCGCTGGCCCTACGTCAGGAATTTCTTCCTCATGGCCGTACCTCTTAGGGGCCACTTCTCGATAGTCACTCGCCATGCTTGGGACATGCTTAAGACCGCCGTCGTGTCCGCGTAGTCCATCATGTTCATTTAGAACGTCTCCAATGCCAGGAGTTGGTTCCTCCTGCCGAACGGAAGCGGCTCTTTGGGCTGCCGGCTTTCGGTCATACAGATGGCTTGTTTCGTCGTCAAATATTGATTCATCAAACTTTTCGCCTTCGATATCAGCGGTGAGATCGCCAAACTCTCCATCATCAAAATACAAGTCATCGTCTTCCTCGTCAACGAGTGGTTGTGATGTATTCAGGTAAGTGTTAGCTGTCATTTGTGGGGCCATCGAAGAAGACGCAGTCTGCGGCTGCGGGAAGGCCTCCACTTCATTATTGGAGGGAGTTTCGTTGCTCAAATGCGCAGCTGCAGGGTCATACATAGAAGAGCTCCGGCTTATCTCTGTCTCAGGAGCCAAGGTTTGGTCACCTTGAGCGTTCGAGAAAGGAGCCATGCTCGGGCCAGTGGGACTACTTGGACTAGCAATTACCGGAGACAAGCCAGGGGCAAGCCACGAATTGTTCAAGATGTCCCCCGGCCCGGAAAAATCTTTGAAATCATATTCCTCATCTGCATCAACGTTGACGCCTGGAATCTTCTCTTCAAGATCATCCATGTCGTCTATAAGATCATTGTCGAAATCGTCATCTGCATCGCTAAATTCTCCTTCAAGTCGGGCTTTAGCCCTTCGTGCAGCCTCCTTCTCTTTATGTTTTTCTTCCAAGAGCTTCTCCTGCGTTGAAGATTCCACGCCATTCATATCAAAGCTGAAACGAGACGCGTTACTCTTGAGATGTTTTGGTAGGCCCAGTGGCTGATGCGGTACTACCTCGACAGTGTCTGCATCCAGGGGCGCACCGTCGTCTGCCGGTTCAATTTCTTGGCCTTTAGTAGACGCATTGTTATCGGTAACATGGGGTTCTCTATCAGGATCTGGAAGGCTCGATGGTAGGTTCCGGGCAAAAACAGGAACAGATTTTGCATCACTTTCATGAAGGGATGGGTTGGTTAACAGGGACGACTGTAGATAGGCCTTATTCTCAACCTGGAGTGCTTTCTGGTCTTCCTCAAAATGCTCTCTAAATACAGGAGAGTATTCGCTATGTCTCTTTCTCTGGTCATTTACAGGGACTGTCAGATCGTTAGAACAACTCTGTGTCCCGTTTGCCGTTTGGGACAGTTCGTGCGAACTATGTCGGTTAATCACGCCATGTAGTAAAACAGGCGCTGCGGACAGGTTCCGACGAGGTCGAGGAGCGGAGAAATCATGAACAATGTTCCCACGGATTCTGGGGTCATAGTCATCCGGTATGGCAGGGATTACGTTACGGGCCCTGATGTTCGCATCCTCCGCCCGATTCGCTACTTGGGAAGAACGCCTTCTAGCCAAGAGAGACATGGGGTTCAAGAGATGAAGCATCGCCTTCCCCGATTTGTGGTGGACAGGCTCTGCAGAAACATCCCGATCCCCTTGCCGGCGGCTAATTGTACTCTCATATCTGTGGTCTCTTCGCGGCGCAATTGTCCTTTCGGTGGCAGATTCATCAGGGGGTGCCTTAAAGCGAGAATGGCCTAATTGCGCCATATCGGGGGTAGATGAACGCTTCAGATGACTGTCGGAGGACTGTGAATGGGAGTTCAACCGTCCTTTACCGAATGAGAGCCGGAAGGGCGAATTCGGCTTAGATGAGTCGCTTTCAATATGGTCTGGGCGCGAACCAGATGGCTGCGAGTAATTCGATTGTGGAGTTAGGGATAGATCTATTTCTCGTTCTTCGGGGCTTGAATGGGGGCGAACATCTTTATCGGAGGAGGCGGATGGTACCGCAAGGGTGGCGGAAGAAGACGACGGAGCATTGATCGCAGCAGTAGATACGGCGATATTATCTTTGCTCAAATCAACTTCGGCTTGATAATCGCTCGACACCTGAGTACCTGGTCCTTCCGAACTAAACGTAGTCGGCAGTGCCGTTGAATTTGGGATAAATGGGAGCTGTGGAACGTTGCTGGCGCCGTTAACCCTCGCCGAAGAGGAGACGGGGGAAGCACTTGAGCGGCGATGATCGCGGCGCCAGTATGAGAAGACAGTAGAAGGCGGCATGATGAGAGTTGCGATCCAAAGCTCATAAGCACCCACGGTGCTTTTAGACGAGCGCGCGCTCCGTTTAGAAACCACAAAGTTCTTCCATAACGCTTGCAATTCTTTCGCACGCACACGCTCTGCGGAGAAGATTACCACCAGGTGCGTGGGGCAAATTAAATTGGACTGTCTCACACGGGCTCGGGCGGTGCGATGCAATGTTCACCACTAGTACTTGGGTTTTGTCACGGGGAAAAGATGGGATTTTAAAAATAGTAAGTGGTTTAAGTATAACTAAGAGAAGAGTATGCGTAAGTATGTAATGTAGATCCGCGTCGACAGATTGTCAAATCAATGTCAGTTGCTTTTAAAAAGAAAAAAGGTACGTCAGGGACGGGAACAATATCTCTGTCCTTCCGAATGCGGACAATATTGGCCCTAACCGCTTTTCTTCACTGAAAGAATGTCTCAATGGTACTCACCATGGAATTCAGCTGATACTCAAAGGCAAAGGCACAAAAACAAAAAAAGAAAGGAATCTCAGGCGGACCGGAAATGGTCTCGTTCCAAACAGGCCTGAATTAGCAGGCACTAAAAGCTTGGCATCCTTCGGGATACGATAAGGAGCTCAGAGACAACAACATGATCATCATCATCATCACACCAAATCATTCACCTTGATTACTGAGGAGTAAAATAATGAGATATTATACATACTTGCAATGCAATGCGTTCGCTAATCTACAGGACACCGCAATGACCCATGCTTTCAATCATCATGAATAACAATATGCGCTCAAGAAACCTATCCATCCTTCAACTAACGCAGAGAATATTAAAGATGTGGTAATAGTAAATAAGAAAATGAGAAATAGAAAGACGGCCTTATACTATACTTTGCCTCCATCGATCAATCATCTCACGCTGGCCCGTCTCGGCGCCTGGTCGTACGGCCTTATGTGGTGCAACATAGCTCAGATGATTCATTCCCAGTATAGCATCGCTGTAAAATGTATTTGGGTGGACTGCTCCGTACCCAAAAGAATCGGTCCTTGCGGGTCCTTGGTACTGAGCATGTCTCGATGGTACCGGCTGTCCTGGGTGCGCCGAGAATTGGAGAGACATTCGACTATCGTAGGGAGGTTGGTAGGTCGAAGTACGGTGTAATGCGGCCTCCCTGGAAGCCGGTCTTCCCCCAGCGGCCGGTCGTCGGGCATGAAGTAGGTCCGCCATACTCCTTCGGTACCTAGGCACCTTCAGAGTTGAATTTCGTGACTCCGCTTCTTTCTGAAGACGTGCTCGGCGTTGAGCCAAGGTTTCCTCTTCTGGCGCCCCCTCGTCTCCTTTCTCCTTGTCGCCATCATTCATATGGTCAACCTCCGCAAGAATCTCGTCGGCAAACTCACTTCCCGTTGCAGATTTACGGCGGTCCTTACCCTTCAAGCGCTTCAAGCGCTCGGCCAGGGTCTCCCCTTCGTCGCCACTATCACCCCCGGCGGGCTCCTGTGCGTTCTGCACGTACATGGTAGTTGGGCGGTTGTCAGGGCTGCGTGGTGGAGGTGGTGGAGGTTCACCCCGCAGTCTCGCGCGGCGCCTGCTCAAGGGCTCGCTTTCTTCTAATTCACGTCTCTCCATAAGACCCAAGGGCCTGTTATCATCAGTAGCAGTAGCCTTCTCGGGGAAGAGCATTCCGAGGGGCACATCATCATCATCGCCATCATCACCTGGCTTGTTGGCATCGGGATCTTCCCAGGCAAGGGTAACAGGCCGATGCCTCCTATGTTCACTCTGCTTCTGAGCAACAGCATCAAGCTGAAGGAGCGTTGAATGCAGTCCTATAGAGTTAGCGGCAGTCCGCTGTCGTTGCCGCAGCTCGTGTTTTCTCATTTCAAGCTCCGCTAACAAGGTAGAAGGAGGCCCTGTAAATGGAACCTCTTGTTCGTTGCTTTCTTCCCCATTATCTTTAAGGGGATCGTGCTCAACATCATCTCCGTCATGAGCGCCTTCACGTAATGAGGTACCCTCATGTATGTCTGCTGCATCGGCTTCTGTTTGGTGGTACAAGTGATGTGACGCGAATGAACTTGCTCTAGCATCCGAGTCAGAGGAGGGATGGTCGACTCTGAGGGTACTCCTTGACATGTGTTTCTTCTTCTGCGCCGCCAAGTCTTTAGATGACGCCTTGTGTTTGGCGTACACTTCTGAACCGACAGGGCCAGCATACGGGTGGTCCGTGAAAGCAGTAACCGGCGCATTTGTTGAGGCATCGAGAATGCTGTCAAGTGTCGCAACTGCGGAAGCCTGTTTTACCTCTACGTCAAGTGGTGTGGCGGGTTGTTCAAAGAAAACACTAGCACGAAGCTGCGGAGGTAGATCCGCTGGCGGCCTCTCACGCTTGGGATCGTTTGCATCGCCTAGAGCCTGACTAGACAGCCAAGGAGCCGATTTTCGGTTTTCGGCAGTGACTGAACCAAGCAACTGCGTCCGACGTTTTTCTCGTTCAGGATTAGGCTTCTGTGATAGCCGCGGTGGTAAATTAAGCATCATAGGCACCGGAGCGGGATAATAAACCATATTCTCCCCCGTCTGCGGCTCCTTGTATGACTCCGGTCTGCTCGCCAAGGGCGGCCTTGTCAAAGATACTTGTCGCCCAAGGTCTTGGCCTTTATCGTGGGGAACATAATGCACGCCATCAAAGTCGGTGAACAGAACCCTAGCCTGTTGGAAGGTGTCTCCTGACGCGGCCGAAGATGGTCGTTGAATTTCATCCGGGGTGTGACTGTACTGGTCATGGTAGGCAAAGTCGGGCTCTATGGGAACAGGTGGTTGCGGAGGGAGGGTAGAGTCGTTAGAAGCGTGCATCATCGACTGGGCGAATCTTTCTTCAGGCATGTGTTCGGAAACTTGGGCCAATCGAGATGCGGACATAATTGACCCTTGGCTGGATGGCACCGTTCCCTTCATGGGGTTGCTTTCACGCACGGAATTGGAGACTGAGCTGACCGAGCGCCTCTTCTGTTCACGATCCATCTTGCGAATTTCGCTGCCAATATCCGCCGAGCTCGAGCTGAGTTGTTCGGCACTCCTTTCCAGTCTCTCTACATTATTCAAATAGGCACCTTGCAACGATTGAAGGTCCGGGGTAGGATGGCTGAGAGGAACGGGGGTATCAGTGATCGGGGATCGCAGGGGAGGTTCAGGGGAGCCGGCGTGGGCAGCTCTAGTGTCTAGCGGCGCAACGCGACGGAGACTATTAGACCTCCGGTTTGTCGGAGGATCGGCGATGTCGTAGTCATCTTCCTCAACCATGTCATAGCTTGTGGAGGTCATGGACCGGATCAACGAACCTAACCGACCCATGCTGGAATCCTCGGCAGTTTTGGCCGGCTGCAGATAAGTGCCTCCACCAATATGATCGACATCTAAAGGAAGATGTTGAAAGGTCGTTTTGTGCGGCGACGGGCTTCGGGAGACATCAGAATCGGTCGCGTTGGAAGCCACCTCGTGGTCGGCTTGAGAAACGGCGTTGTACGCCATTATGAGATGTGGTTGAGGATGGCAGGGCGCAATCAAGGGCCATCAAGGGAAAGGCACTTTGTCGTGTGATCCACCAAAAAATCAAAATCAAAAGAGGGGAAGGTACTTAGAAGGTCTTCCGAGGGAGAGATAAGGCGGGAGAGGCCTTCCAAGACCAAGGGTATCGCAATCAAATCAGACGTTAGGGATAAAAAGGAAGGGGAAGTTTTTGGGACACAAGATGAGAAATAAAAAGAGAGAAGGTAAGCAGGTGTGAGAAGACAAAAAAGAAAAGAAAAGAAAAAGAGATGGAAATGGAAAAGGAAAAGGGAAAAAACTTGGAAAAGTAGGATTAGGATGACGGATTCAGATTAACTACTAAAGACGTGCAAAATCAGGGCATGAGAGTTGTCATCTCATACATAGTACAGTACCAATACCTACTGCTGGATGGTGAACGGAATTGGTTAAATCCAGAGGGATGGAGTACGTACTGTCTCTCTCTGTGAGTGTGTGTGTGTGTGTGTATCAGTGTTAGTATGTATGTACCTATTTTTGTGTATGGTCAGTGGAATGTATCCACCAACTGGAGGTCCCCCTTATATGACCCTTAGAGTATAGTTAGTAGTAATAGTATTGTCCATTCTTGTCAGGTTTCCACCGTTGGTTCCTTTCGCACATTTTATTTTTATTTTTTGTTTTTCCTTTTTTTTTTTTTTTTTTTTTTGTGAGCTAAATTTGGATCATGAGGGGAAAACAGACTAAATTACTAGTATCCGCCACCATGTTTATGTCCATCCAACCCTATTAAGCACAATGAGAATAAATATCTTTACATCTCCTGTACTTTGAAATGTAAAAAGGAAATTAATCTCGAATTTTTATACTAATTTAAACCCCTAAACCTATATTGGCAGTTAATCACATTCACACGCATTAAGCTTGTCACCTTTGCAGGGACTGCCTGCTTGCAGATGATAAATATTTGTAGAATCTGATACATCAGGTAGTAACTACCGGATATAGCATTTATTTAACTTCAGATCGACCAACCATGAATCTGAGTCAACAATCAGCTCCCAATTTGAGAGTGCAGGAATATATAAGCACGACTATTAATTACTTGCCATTAATTGTCTTATCCTCCGCACTACGCTATCGTACTGCGCCTCGGTCCTGCAGGACAATTAGTAGTAGAAATGTTTAACTCAATGAAGTGTCTTACCAATTTTGCATAGTGAAAAATAAGCATCTAACAGATCGAAACGTTTCATATATAAGATACGCTAAACTCCAGGGTAGGATATTGAATGATACTGATGGCAGACTGCATCTGAACCTCTGGGAATGTTCCTGGATGCAGTAAATCCACTTGGAAGTAGCGGCTTGGCGCTAGTGAATTCTGGAAAGTCCGTGTTCTAGACCCTTTCCTACTTGAACTTGTTGTATTTGCTTGACTCCACTGGACCCTTTTCAATCGTTCCTCTCTCAAAACAGTCTAACAACAACAACAACAATTACGGAGTATGGTGCAGAGAATACGCGAGAGGTATACGTTAGTCTAAAATAGGACCACTTATTACTTACAAGGAGGATGAGAGCCCTTACTGGTATCTACTGAAGTTTTATTATACATTATGCAAGGGTCTCCTTGTTTTCCACTTACAAGTACATCCATGTCCAGACTATCTAATTAATAGTGGCATTAAGGTGCTTACGAGATGTATACTTACTTTTTGCATTCGGAAATTGGAGCTACAAGGCGCATTCTCTATTTGAGAACGGTGATGCAGTAGCACTAAAATTGTTCTTCTGCAATACTTTGTGTCCTGCATTGGACTTACAAGCGGGGGGTCACTGATGACTCTTAGTCAACCATACCTGCAGCAATAGGAAATATATGCCATCATGCTATCTTTTCATTGCGTCTGTGTGGCCCTGAGCCCCGTTGCAGTCGATACCGTATCAGTGATCATATTTCTATTAGGATAATCAAGACCTATAGGATAAGTATAACTACATCAAAGTATGAGCGCCCGTTGAATAGTAGCACCATCACCGCTATTGGGAGAATGCACAGAAAAATCAAAAAAATCATTCAGGTATATACAAAGGTATAAACTGCAATTATGATTGTTAACAACCATTGAGCATGCAACACACACACACTAAATATCCAGGACATATGATCTAGGGTTTGGGGCCTGGGCGGCATAAAAAAGGATGTCTAAGGAGCGATACAGTACAAAGTAGCTTTCCGTCACGGTATATATCTATATATCTAAGGTACCAAGCTTAATAGCATGATGATGATGATGATGATGATGTCACCGCAGTCAACGAAGGTCGACATTCGAAGTCTTTCTCTATAACAAAGCGGAAACACTAAAAGTATCATAAGACTAGGCTAACCATTACTACAGTGTATGTCAAGCCACAGAGTACGGGCTCTAAGTTAGGGTTCTTATATTACCCTTTGGAAAAACGATAACGGTACACGTGACATCGCGAAATGCGGGACGCGCCTCAAAGCAAAAGGCGACTTCAAGACGTAAGGTAACTAGGGAGATTCAAAACTAAACGTAAAGGACAGTAGCCAGTAATACAGTCTAACCAATTCAAAATGTCATATTATGATATTGACTCTATCTTAACAGATGCTCAGGTACGTCACCAAAGTCCACACATATACCAGTCGGACGTGTTTCTAATATTTCACGATGATAGAAATTGCCTTGCACATTTGAACTCGAGGTGCCAGGGCTTGGCATTCTAGAGGGCAATCCAGGCGACAATGTAAGCTTATAATTTGGCTTACAATGAACGAGGATGACTGAAAATTGACAATGTCAGATCAAAGCTGGTACTCGCATCGACCTCCCACTATGGCTGGGTGAAATGCTCTCTATCGGGTGAGATCCGAGCATGAAACCCCCAAACCCCCAATTAGACAGGATCTAATTCAACAAAGAGCTCGGCTGGGCACTTCTCGCTTAGTTACACTAGATATCCCTTCAGCATTATCAGAACGGGTTATGAATGCCTTAAAAGCCGACCCTCGGACCGTCGATCTGCGGGCATTAGCGCCACATTTTTATAGTCTGAGCGAGCGGGTTTTGGAGCTTTTTGAGGAAGAGGAGATGGTTGATGTTCTTATTAATGTTGGTTTACCCTTTTTTGCGCCTCTGAACAGAAAAGTGAGGGAAGAAAAAGCATTGACTAATAGCTCCTATAGACATTCAAGAAGCGCGCTTCAGAAATTGCTGACCATGCCCACAATCCAAAGGGTGCTCTTGGCGACGGCGTTGAGTTTCTGCGGGGGTTAGATGAAACGGAAAGGCAGCGTACGTGAAAAATAACTCTGCATTTTATAACCTTCTGGCATGTTTCTAATCACTTGGTCTAGTGTTTCGCGTGGCTCATGATAGTGCCAAGGAGACGCGGATATGGGCTGGGGAGGCTAAGAAGAGGTAATTCGAGGGCGAAAGTATTAACATTCAAATTTATCAGACTGAGCTGTGCTCGTCATATGAGCTATGTCTATTGTTTTGCCAGTCATGTGTTTAGGGTTAGCTATGTTGGTGGAGTTATATGGAATTAGCACTCGCATAAAACGGAACTTGCGAACTATCCGTCTATTCTATATATATATATATAAAGAGTAGACTTCAATTTTAACAAGCTTCATAGTGGTTTACCTATCTTAATATATATACCTATTCGGATTATAAATCGAAACCCTAGATGGTTACAAATAGACATTAGTAGACTAGCGATTCAGGCTACATATACGTGCTACAGAGGCAGGGGTGCAGCTGCAGTCCGAACTTATATATATGTAGTATGAAACCGGAGAAGTCTGTAGGGCCCACTACATGAAAGTCTAACGTGATATGCTCGCGATCAATGCGGCGAATTACTAGTGAATGTACACCACAGAGTAAAATTAGGATGGCTCTTGGCAGTGACCTCCGTACCTTGAAGCGAGAAGCGGGCATCGTGGGGGGCCTAATTAATAGTTAGGCTCTATCAGGTTAATAAAATTTTGATTGTTGACTGATTGATAGGGGGCCTAATCCGAGGTCCTTTCTGCGGGGCGTTATTTGCATAGCCCCAGTGAAGAGATATCTAGGATGGTCTACCGTCCTCCCCGTGCTCTCGGGGCTCCCTAGCCTTTAGGACCAATAGAACCTCGAGCTGTTGGGCATCCCCGGCTCCCGGTTGTTCATTTCCCGGTAATACTCCCCATATGGATCTTACGGGGTCTATCTAGTCATCCTCTGGCCTGGGAAAGTTTCCCCTCATCAACGATTCTGTGAATCAATAGACACGAAGTAAACAATAGCAAGGTACTAGACCAGACACGATGTCGCCGGATATTGTTTCCACCCTCGACGCAATTCAACCGAGCCAATTCATAGTGCCAGCTGACCGCTTTGCTGCCAAAGAAGCAGCTCGTCGCCTTCTTGCCCGCCTTGAGACGCCCTTTGAGCAAGGCTGGGCTATCACCTTCGAAGGTCCCGGCCTTGTTGCTGGCCTTCAGCTGCTGCAAGACCTTGGCATCTGGACGAAATGGACAGAGGCCGATAGACAAAATCCAGGCGTGGCAAGGACGCTTGACGAGCTTCTTAGCTGGGCTCATACAGCCTGCGAGCCGAACCTCTTGCGTCGCTTCCTCAGGCACATCGCTGCCCTTTACGTGATCCAGGAGGTGGGCGTTGATACATGGCAGCCCACGCCCGCCTCCTTGGCCCTGGGCGCCCAAGAGACGCATACCGGCGAAGTAATCAAAGCTGGGTACGTGTGCAAGGCTGGCAATACCCATGCCTAGACTGCGACGGCGGGACTCATAGGGACTGACTAGCAATGCAGCTTGGATCATTCCATTCCCTGCGGCCGTAACCTCGCGCGCTTTCTGGCCAAGCATGGCTACAAAGAGCCACTTGACATCCCTTCCTTTGACAACTACCGCGATGTCTTCGGGAGGGACTTCTTTAGCTACGTCCAAGATCACCCCGAAGCGGGCGGTTCGTTCCAGGGCGTTATGACAGCGGTGACTCAATACAAAATGCTCTGGACGGACGTCTATGATACCCAGCCCCTTGTGGCAGGCGCCGACCTGACCAAGCCCCTTTTCGTCGACGTTGGTGGCGCTCAAGGCCTCGACGCCCAACGCTTGCTGGATCGCCACCCCGACCTCCCTGCCGACGTCCTCATTGTCCAGGACCTGCCTGAAGTGGTCACCACCCATGGCAAGGAGATGCTGGACAGCCGAGTCCGCAAGATGGCCCACGACTTCTTCCAGCCGCAGCCCATCACCGGCGCGCGCGCCTATTTCTTCCACGCCGTACCACACGACTGGCCCAATGCTGACGTGGCGCGCATGTTTGCCGAGGTGAAGAAGGTCATGACGCCGGGGTACTCCAAGCTTTTGATCTACGAAATTATGCTGCCTGCGCAAGGCGCGACGCACTTGATGACAACGCTAGACCTAGCCTTGATGAGTTGTACCAGCGGGTTGGAAAGGACGGAGGAGGCGTGGAGGGCGCTGTTGAAGAAGGGCGGGTTCAAGGTTATGAGCATCTCTAGGCACCCGATGGCTGTGGAGAGTGTCATCGAGGCTGAGATTGAATAAGAGATACGCCGTACTAGTGGTCGTAGATAGATCACTTATATGATACACACATGATAACCGTATTCATCCCTTTTAAGGTTCTCCGCCCCGAGGCGATCGGCCCTCGTGCATTCTGGTATGACTTGCCCTAGCTGACTGAATTCCCGGGGGTAAACCCGACAGCTGAACTGGAGGTTCAAAGTGTACGGAGTATGTACAAGTAAATACATGGATCCAGTAGTAGTCTTGGTCCTTTGGTCTTAACAGTTAGCTAGCAAAGCTGACTAAGACGATGCGGGTTCCTCCCCCTCCGGAGAACAACGTCATGGCGCTGAGTACTGTATCTACTACGTACTCGCGATAAATACGGCGTACAGTAAATTACTAATTCATATACAGTACGGGGTACGGAGGCTATTATATATATATAAGATTAAAAACCTCCAGAGTAAAATTAGGATTACTTTTGGCGGTGTACCTCAACAGAAGCGAGCATAGTACTTAGTGGGCTGATCCTTTTTGTGGGGCTTTGTTTACATAGCAACTTAGTAGCTTTCTGGTTGTCGTGACTGAAATGGAGTACGTATGGGATCTTTAATTTGAATCTATGTTTCTTGGAAGGATTTTAATAAGTTTTGTAGAAGGCCATGGGAAAAGTTGATTATTTCTTGTGGGGATGTGTGACTTTATGGATTCCATATAAAAAAAGTCCCCCCTTCCAACCTTAAACATGATCAGCTGGATAGGACCATCGGTAGAAGGTTGAAACGGCTGGAATGGAAAGAAGGGAAACCAACCTAGTCGGTACCTACCTAAAGTTCCACCATCGGGAGTAAACTACTACGTACTACTACACGTTAGGTCTAGCAGTAACTACTAGTCAGAGTCCAGCCCTTACGACAGTTGGAGTTTTAATTAATTGGAATCTGCGATGCTCATTGGTGAGTGATGAAACAGCCGAGGGAGGTGGCCTTCTGATTGGCCTTTTTCTTAGAATGAACCCCTTCAACAAGACTGCGTTGAGTTAGCAGGGAAGGACGATCAACCGACGGCGGGACTACCGTACTAAAGGTACCGACTATGCCTTTACTGGTTTTAGTGCTTGTCTTTTTTGCCGGGGACCTATCACACTTTCCGTCTCATTGATTGTAGACTGACTCCCAGAGTGGACTACGGTTTGGGGTTGTTGAGAGAAGGATTTACATCAAACACATTCTTGGATAAAGGAGAATGAACAACAATCAAGTGTCAAGAGGTGTCACAGCATTCATTTCCTCTCCTGTCAACGAGTTTTTCCATGGTCGTCGCATGGTAACCAGACATTCCAACCGAAGGGAAGGAGAAAATAAAAAGAGGTATACTCCGGATCCCGTTCGCGGAAAGAAGAACTAACCAGAAGGAGAGTTGTAATGGGATCGTGCAGTGTGGGGGGACTTTCTTTTCTTTTCTTTTTACCTACTCTTAGTTCTCTCTGTCACCCTCCTTTCTTGGCTCTGAAGATCGACTCGTCATAAGCCTTTCCCGTCACATTTTAATCTTTCCTCCTCTCTCTCCCCTCACATCCAAAGGTTTACGTACTTTCTTCGCTACCAGTTTTTATGCGCTGTAGGTTGTTACCCTGCCAATTCCCTGCAGCTCCTGCGATTCACGAGAGTCTATGCTCGACTGGTCTCTCTACTCCAAACTCCTCGCATCGCCACTTACCCAATAGCGAATCTGATTCTAGCTTTTTTTTTTTTTTTTTTTCTCACTTGACCTGTCGATTTAAATCTCCGCCTCTAATGAAACGCGCGCATTAGGTGGACACAATCGTACCGTTCTACTGCACTCTAAGTCGTGTCGTGCATCTTGTCAATTATGCGCGTTCGGTAGCCCAGTTCGCCATCTAGGGATCTCGAGCCGGCATGGACAAAACACCCCAAAGGCGAAGTACCGCCTCGGTGCACTCAACCACCCCTTCGTCATTGCGACATTGCCTATACCCTTCTCCGGTCACGGCTCTTCCAACTGGTGATACACCCCCGAGACAGAGTCCCAAACTGAAGAGTTGGTTAACCCAGCCTCCCCTCCCTTGAATCATTCAAGGGATACCAGACTTCACAGTGGTATACTAACTAGTCACTTGTTCCTTCAAGATAGCTCCGCATCGCCAAAACCGGCAGCGCTCACTCGGGTCAATAGACGGATCAGGATGGATACCCCGTCGCAAATGAATACTGGTAATCTGGTGCAGGTCGTTCGATCTTCGGATGATGTTAATGTGTCATACAGAAATGTCATGGCCGCATGATCTGTCTTCTATGACCGGCTCGCCCAAGCCGAGCTCGCACACGTCTAGATCAAGTATGTCTGCAATATGATTCCTATGGAATCCATAAGTCATTGGATATATCCATCTCTAATACACGATACCTGGAATACTAAAATGATGGCCTTCTGTAGAAACCCCTGAACCTGGATCAACATCGCTGGTGAACCCATCCTCCTCTCTGCTACAAGACCTGTTGAAAGAGCAGCGTGCGACTCGAGGGTCGCGGGGAACAGCTTCAGAAGACATGGAGGATAATGGACCCCATACGCCTCGTACGCCAGGCCGTTCCCGCTCCAATTCTCAGGCCCAGTCGCAGGAAGAGCCGGGCTCTGATCGGCAGCGGAAGATCAATAATGCTCTGGCTGCGGGTCTAAAGCAACCCCGGGAGATGGGGATGAGAGAAATGGACCAAGTGAGTGACACCATAGTATCTTCTACGGGCGACCATGCAGTCGCTAACAGAATGCTAGTATATCTCAAAGATGAATAAACAGAACTTTGACTTGAAACTCGAGATCTTTCACCGTGCCCAACAAATGGCGGCAATGGAAAAGAAGCTAGAACGGATGTTGGAAATGGAAGAAGAACTACAACGCATGCGAGACTTGGAGGACGAGCTACAGGAGTTGCGGGATGCCGAAGAGGACAATCAGAGGCTGCGGGAGTCTAATGAGCAATTGCGGCAAGAAATTGATAAACGAGACCAGGCTGTCACAGAGGCCGTAGAATTGATCTGTCAGCTCGAAGCGAGAGTGGAGGAGCTGGAAGCAGCCGGGGACCATTCCAGACCTTCTACAGCTCGGCCTCCTACGCGCGATGGCCCAGGCCCAGCTATTGAAACGCCCAAGTCTCCTACCTCCGTGGATATTCCAGAACGGACATCCTCAAAGAACGGTACAACACCTGGTGACCAGCATCGCCGAAGGTCTTCGGGGACACGCCATCTCAAGAGAGCACCGTCATTTCTCCATAACGAGAATCAAAACACGGCAGCCCTGCGAAGTGTCTATAACCCTGCCGATGATCAGCCTCGCTCTGAAATGAGCATACTCACGAACTCCGAAAGTCTCCACTCCATGAACGAGACCGGCGAACCCGATTCTCCGAGGCTTAGCGCACTAAGTGAATGTAGTGAACTACATATAGGCGATATTACTGGGTCGTGTAATGATTCTGATGAAATCGAAATACCCGTTCGCAAGAGAGCGTCGACAGCTCAGAGTGCCATGTTCTCACCCCTTACGAGAGAAGACCGGGAAAGGGATCAGTTACGTTTTAGTTCATGGACCCCGCCGAAGCCAGATATCGATCCAGAAGACACGCCGAGAATGAATATTCGACCTGTGCTGGATGTTTTCAGAGACACCGATAAGCCAAGCTTCGAAAGGGTCTCATGTGATAATAGCTCTAGCCAAAAGACACAGATTGACAGCGTTTTTGGAAGTACCAGGCTACCTCCCACCCCTGACACGATGAGTACCGCACATGCATTCGGCACCAATAGGTCAAACGGCAGCGCTACGGAGAAGAGCCAGGTTGATCAGATTGCGGTTTTCAAGCGGGGACTCCGCCGTCCTCGTTCTGCAGATGAGCTGACAACCAGGCAAAGTTCCGGCAATAGCAGGCTGACAGACGGTACAGATACTAATATCAGTGAGGTTATGCATCCGCCGCTTAGTCCCACCGAAGGAGACGAGGCGCCTGCTATATTTCCCTTGAACAGCGTATCATCGAGAACCGGCTACATGCAAAGCCAACGGCCGGTCCATCGGCCCAATTTTGGCCACTATGGAAACGGAGTGCTGTTCAATCAAGATGATTTGGAACATGTTCTCTCGAAAATAGATAACAACTATTACTCGCCACCTAGGCACGACGAGGCTGAAGAGTCCATTCTGGATACGCCATCTACATCACCACCCCTTACCCCTCAAGATTGGGTGGAAGCAGCGAAATCCGGTAATCACGCTGGGAAGAATCGCGCTCTGGCCCCGGCTATTGGCCCTGTTCCTACCAAGCCTCGACTAGGTGGCACTAGAGCTCCTAGCCAGTCCTCATTCCTTGGACGTCGCCATAGCGTCGACTCGACTGTACCGGACCTTCCGATTATACCCACACTCGATCTAGGCTCATTGGAACCTGTTCGCCAGCCCGAGCCGGACCCAGAACCTCGACGAAAAATCAGTTTTCGGCCTCGATTTTTTGGAGGTTCCAAAGCGACCCGTCGTCTCCAACCATCACCCATCCCTGATGCCACAAATGGACAAGATGGAGCACCCTCTCCAGTCATCCCCAAGAGTAGACAAATGGCACCTCCGAAGCCGGCTAGAACAAATCAAAACGATAACTCGCCCACATATGAGAGTGGCCGTACACCTGCCCTCACATATGCCGACGCAAATGGTGACAATATGCGCAGAACCCTTCCTCATTCATTTACGGATTCCAACATGCAGTCACATAGTACCATGAGCAGGTCACCCTCGTCTCCCAGCAAAGGACACAAAAGACGGAGCTCACTTGGGATTTTTGGCTGGATGAAAGGAGCCAGTGGTTTTGGGTCTTCCAATAAGAAATCCGAACCTGATTCTTCTGCGATGTCCACGCAATCCAGTGCGTCAGTCAAGGACAGAACCCCCTCCCGTTTAGCCTATGAGTTTCCGGTTGCGAACACTGAGGCCAGAGCTGCTCATTTAGCCTCCATGAATATTGCAGTTGAAGACTTCGCGTCTGGTACGAAACGGATCTCATGGGCGGAAGAAGAGGCGGCACGACGACCGAGGTACATGGATCGTCGCCGCCGATTTTAATCAGACCTTGAGAGCCCGCGTACACGATATACAACAAGAAAAGCAACCTGAAAAAACATCGGCCGCCATTTTCTCTGCATCACTATACGGTCTATTCTAGTTCTTTTGTTTTTAATGCGTCACGATACCCCACGAGTTATAGTCTAACAGATGGCATGGATTATACCAGTATTTGCATAGCATTCGTGTCTGAGAAGTCAGGAGTCATTGTCTGGATTTCTTTTGTCTTTTGGTGCCTGGTTGGTACTAGCTACCGTTGTCTATCCTTCCTTCGTTTCTTACATTTTGTTCTCTCCCTATCTCTATCTCTTCCTCCTTTGTTTCCTTGTCCCTTTCATCTCACTCTCACCCTAGTCACTCTCTATCAATTTCCTTTTTGTCACATTTCCCACCGTGGTTTGCATATTCAAGTGATTTTTTGAATCGTGATGATTGATGTTTAATTATGTTTGCATCTTTGGGGGGTTCTTCATTCATTAGCATCCTTTGTCTCTTGTCTCTTATCTTATTGATTTATCATCATTATTCTTTTTTTTTTTTTTTCTTGTTTTCCTTTTCCTAGAAGCATCTATCCACTTTTGAGAAAGTCGTCTATCTTATGAAGTTATGTATGAATATCAAGTTCGTCTTTTTCTATCGTTGTCACAAAATATCCGAACGTAGAAGCAGTAACAGTTAATGAGTCGGCCATCGGATCCAATCTATATAATTCCGTACAACCTATCCAATCAAGCCCATCCAATCCGAACTCCTACTCGAGTAAATTACAGTACAATAAAAAAAAATCATCTCGAAAGAACCTCCAGCTTCCCGCCACCTAGTATAACGCCTATAGCACAGTATAAATGAAGAACCTCAGTACCAATTATTCCCAGCCTCACCCAACTTCTTCCCCTTAGGATTCATCGAAAGAATCCTCTGCCCAGGCAAGGTATCATCCGTAATGGCCGACTCAAAAATTCCCGAAATAGCCCTCTTCCCTATCCTCGCAAAAGAATCATACCCCTCACCCGCCTCGTCCCCATTAATCGCCGCCCACTCTTTTGACAACCGCGGCGACCGCCCATCTCCCAAATCACTCCACCGTGTCACCACAATCGCATGCCGGAATAAGTTCTGATACGAACCACTCCGGTCCTCGGTGAGCTTGACCTCGACCAGATACTCGGAGGGACACTCGGGGCAGCGACGCATAGGTCGACACTTACCGCAGAGAGACGCGAGGGCGTTGGGGTTGTGGTCTCGTTTGTGGTACATGTCTTTTGCGCGGTGTTCGAGGCCCTGCAGGCCGGCTGTGTTGCGGGGGACGGGGATGTGGCCGAGGGCGCATTTGCAGACGTTCATGAGTTCGCCATCCCGCCAGTGCGCGCAGACGGAGAAATACGGCCAGTAGTCGTCGCGCGAGTAGAGGAGGAGTCGCTGTTCGCTGACGCTGAGCCCTGGTTCGGCGAAGCAGGTGCTCACGACCCGCACGAGCAGTCGGCCCTGGTGGATGTGGTATCGGGTCTGGTGGGACCAGCCATCCCGGCGCCAGCGACGGGCTAGAGAGTCAGGCGAGATACCGTAGCGGGGTCCGAATCGGTATGCGCGCATGACGAGCTGGTGGAAGGTGAAGTAAAGGACTCGGCCGTGGGTGATGCGATGGCGGGGGGCTGGGCGGGTGTTGTTGCGGGCGTTGGGGCAATCGAAGAGCGGGTTGATCACGTCTGCGGGTTGGAGCTTTTCGCGGCCTTCTTGTGTCCGGCGGTGGTATTTGCCGCAGGGGAAACAGAGGAGATGGTGAGGGAGTAGTCGGTCTTGGGAGATGAGGAAGTCCGCTTTGTAGTTGTGGTTTTCTGGGAGGTTTATAATTATCCAGGGTTCGCGGCCTAGACGAGCGTATAGTGTTCTGCTGGAGAAGGCAAGACTGGCTCTCTCAGCGGGATTAAGATACTCGGTAATCTTGGCCCAGAGGTCCGATGTCAAGCTGGCAATCACGGGCTCGCCTGGCGGTCTATTGTCGAATTCGTGTACTTGCGCGTTTGGATCGGAAGGGTCAAGTTCTCCAACACCAATTGAGTGCAGCATTGCGGTATGATCGCGGCCTTCGCCTAGTTGAGTATCTTTCTGAAGATTTATATCTCGGTATCTGAGACGGTGGGCCTCCAATGGGGCCAGTGAAGGCATCTCCGGGACGACATCTTTGCTTTGTAGACCTTCTTTTAGATTCGGAGTCGATGCGCTGAATCCCTTCCGGAGGACCTGACGAGATTTCTTAGGTCGGAGGGCACCGGCGAAGAACGCACGAAACCCACCGCGTTTTTCTCCAGGGCTTTCAGCGGACATTTGGCGAGCATTGGCCGCTGAGATGTGAGATGAGAAAAGACGTTCCGGGAGACGGCGGAGTGGAATCAGTGGATCCCAAATTAAGAAAATAAGCATCCCGGAAACTGCGGGAATGCTACGGGAGCATGTGATTTAAATCTAGCCACTGTGGCTGGTGCAAGCTTCCTTCTCCCCGCAAAATAATTACTAGTACGGAGTAGTAGTAGTAGTAGTAGGGGTAGTTATATATACACAAGGCGTATCCAATTGCATTAGGGCTACAAGTACAGCCTGATCACACATTACACAGTATCACTCTGGACACAACTGAAACAAACCGCTCATCAAGCTGCGTTAAATCACAACACTTTTTGCACGCTTACGCGAAGCGCTTCTCAACGGCCTTCCAGTTGATGACGTCCCAGATGGCACTGAAGTATTCGGCCTTGCGGTTCTGGTATTGAAGGCTAAACACGACATTAAATTATTGCCCAGTAGACATCCAGTTGGAGAAAAACTTACTAGTAGGCGTGCTCCCAAGCATCAATACCGAGAAGAGGCTGGAACTGGCCAACGACAGGGTCCTGGTTCTGGTCGGGAATTAGCTACCGGTATCCTTAGGCGTCCACAAGGAGGAACTTACAGCATAGGTCTTAATGCCAATGTTTCCGGTCTGCTTGTCCTTGACGAGCCAAGCCCATCCACTTCCCTGAATGCCAGCGAGGGCGGCGTTCATCTTGCCCTGGAACTCTCCCAAGCTGCCGAAGCTCTCGTCGATGGCCTTGGCCAAAGCTCCAGATGGGGGCTCACCACCACCCTGGCTCTTAGGGGCAAGGTTCTCCCAGAAAAGAGTGTGGTTGATGTGGCCACCACCGTGGAAGTTGATCAGGGGCTTGAGGTTGATCTGGGCGGCGATGTCCTCCTTGGCGACGGCCTCCTGGAGCTGTTCGACGGCGGTGTTGTAGCTGTTGACATAGGTCTGGTGGTGGTTCTTGTGGTGAAGCTCCATTATCTTTCCGGAGATAGATGGCTCAAGGGCGCCATAGTCATCTGTTATCCAGTCAACCAACCATTGCATTACGTGCTTCCGAGGCGCCATGAGCGAAAAGCGCAACACATCTACTCAAATTCGCATTGCAAAAATAGCCGAGAAAGAAGACAAACGGAATACCACACAACAAATGGGCTAGATTAACAACATCAAAGGGAAGGGAAGAGTCATACAAGCCAGGTCAGGCAAAGTGGCCTTGCCACGGGCAAAGGTCAAACCCGCAACACCCGCAGCTTTGGGAGCAGCCGAAGCTCCAGCGCGAAGAGCGGTACGGGCAGAGGTACGGATAAGAGAGGCAGCCATGGTTTATGTATCAATGGAATTGAGTTACGTTACAAAGTAGTGACCAAATGCAAAAAGAGAGGAGAGGGTAAAGAAGAAAAGGAAGAAGAAGAGAGAGGAGGAGGAGAAGAAGAAGAAGAAGAAGAAGAAGAAGAAGACGTAAAAAATAACCGGGAGATTCGATGCAACAAACGTCATTGTTGCTCGGTCCCTCGGACTTGAATTTTCCCCGCGCCGAAATGCCCGATAATCAACTTTCCTTTCTTGTTATCGTGCGTATCTCATCTCAATCGACAGCTCCTTCATGGCTCCCAAACGTGTCGTTTGACCGTTTAATTGCCTTTCGTCACCTACCCGACGACTCTAAAATTACTATATACACCTTTTCCTGAAATCTGCGATCGGTCATGGACTCGGATTCTCCCCCGGCCTCACCACCCGCCGGCCAAAAACGTAAAATTGCCGACATGAGCTCCGACGAAGAAGATTTTCGCCCCACGATGGGCTTCCGCGGGTTCGCTAGAGCAGCGTCACGCTCAGAGTCACCTCCGTCGCTTGGTGGCTTGGGAAGTGCTCGTCGCAATCCCTGGAGCAACAACACGCAGCCCGCCACTCCCAGAGGCGGCGCCAGCAATGCCGGCAAAGGGATGAACGGAGGAAACTCCTTCGCCGCGCGTATGATGGCCAAGATGGGTTATGTTGAAGGTCAAGGTCTCGGTTCGACTGGTCAAGGTATCGTCAATCCAATTGAGGCCCAGGCCCGACCACAGGGTGCTGGTTTGGGCGCCGTTCGAGAAAAGACAAAGCAAGCCCGAGAGGAGGAAAAACGAGCGGCGGCCTTACGCGGTGAAGTGGTGGAGGATAGCTCAGATGAAGAACGAAAGAGGAGGCAGAAGAAGAAAGAGGCGCGCAAACAGGGAAGTCGAAGCGGTACTGGCACACCAGTGCCACGCGCGAAGCCTCAATTCCGCACAGCCCGAGAGATGGAGGAAGATATGGCTGGTCTTGAAGTACCAAATGTCTTGAAGTCATTGGTTGATGCCACGGGAAAGGAACAGCGAGTCTTGACCTCCACTGCAGGCTTGATGACCCCGTCCGAATTCGTTAAACCTGGTGAAGGTGAAGCTCTTAAGATTGCACAACGAGCGCGCCATGATCTAGAGGCTTTTGCGGATGAATGGAAAGGATTGACTGAAAGGAAGAAGTTTATTGATCTGGAGGAGGCGCAGCTTGTGGAGCAAATGGATACACAACAACTCCGAATGGACCAGCTAACAGAGTTGGTCGCTGCCATTGGGGGATTGGAAATCTTCCAAGATGACAGTACGCGGGGACGTTTCGACGAAGTTACTGAGAAGCTGGAATCCTTGGAAATCAAATATCGGAATGAAATTGATGAATACCGTCTCCCCGAGACAGCTGTTGCGGCCATTCATCCTCTGTTCCGCCAAGCGATGGAGGAATGGGAACCTCTTCAAGATCCGACATACCTCGTGTCAAATCTTCGCCGCCTTCAGCCCCTTTTATCCCGGCAGAAAGACGATCAAAATACACAGCGGCAATCCACTTCACCTTATGAAAGTATGATATACACTTTGTGGCTACCTCGTGTGCGCTCGGCACTCCTCAACGACTGGGACGTTTATGACCCGAGGCCAGCCACCTCCCTTGTCGTTGCGTGGAAAGAGATTATACCACACTTTGTTTTGGCGAACGTTCTTGATCAGCTCGTGGTTCCGAAGCTCACCGGTGCTCTGAAAGAATGGAAGCCTAGAAGCAGTAGCAGACGCCACACTTCCTCACATCATAGTTCTCGCTTCCCATGGTGGCTATTCTCATGGCTACAGTATCTTGGTGAACGACATACGGACCCAAGACAGCCTACAGGTCTCCTTTCAGATGCCAAGAGAAAATTCCGCGTTGTCTTGGATTCCTGGGACCTCAGAAAAGGCTTGGTTGATGGCATTCAGCTGTGGCGCGATGCGTTGGGCTCAGAGTTTGACGTATGCTTACGAAACCACCTCTTACCACGACTGGGTCGCCATCTCCGTGAAGATTTTGAAGTAAACCCACAAGACCAAGATGTCTCAGCACTGGAAAACATCTTCAAATGGAAAGATTTCTTCAAGCCTAATGTTTTCGGGTTATTGCTGGTAGCCGAATTTTTCCCTAAGTGGCACAATATTCTGTATATTTGGCTCACCAATGACCCGAACTACGAAGAGGTTGGCGAGTGGTTCTCCTGGTGGCGAACCCAAATCCCCGAAGACGTCAACGAGCTGACTATCGTCGACGACGAGTGGAAGAAAGGCTTGCGGACCATGGACCTTGCATCTCGCTTGGGTGATCGCGCTGCTGCAGAGCTTCCACCCCCATCATCTACCACTGCAGAGCAGCTTCCTGAGGAAAAGCCCCATGTGCCAGCGGAGGCACCATCCACGAAAGCTCGCAAGCCCAAGGTCGTGGAAGAGGTCGCCTTCAAAGACATTCTCGAAACCTGGTGCACAGAACAGGGGCTCATCATGCTCCCATTGCGAGAAGCACATCCGCAAAATGGCCAACCTCTCTTCAGAATCACAGCCAGCGCTACCGGAAAGGGTGGTGTCGTGGCCTTTGTCCAGGGAGATGTTGTCTGGGTGCAGAACAAGAAAGCAAAGGACGTTTGGGAGCCGATGGGGCTGGAAAACCAGCTTGTGGAGCGTGCAGAGAGCAGATGATATCCCTATTTTTTGTTATATTAGCATGGACTACAGTTTTTGGCTAGTTTTCACGATACCTTGTATTTAGATATCCACTTATCATGATTACATTGATATACATATAATTATAGAAGTGGCTGAACACACCTTCAAACCATTGAACAGATCATCCAATTGCATGCATGTACCAGGAAACAAACAGTGAACGTTCGCCAGCCTAATAGTACTACTGTGACAGAAGAGACAAGACACCCATGCGTCAAAGGTCGCGTTACCACTCCCGGCCGAGCAGTAGATCTCACACGCAATGATCGTCAATACAGAGAAAAAAGACATGCATAGTAGCAATTACATAGAAGAGGCTGGTTATGAAGTAATTGCCAAGAACAAGATTGGCCCAAGCACATGGCAGATGTAAAAAGCTCCGACTTAGGGCAGTGGCCCTGTGCTCTACTTTAAACTGTTTTATAAAGCACTTATTTGAGCTGTTATTCAACAACTACTCCGATGTGGTGTAATGGTCAACATCGCTGTCTCTCACACAGCAGCTCGGGGTTCGATTCCCCGCATCGGAATTACTTTTTTCATTTTGGTCTTTCTCCATCTTTCCTTTCGACATGTGGTGGGTTCCTTTTTTTCCTTCCCTCTTGTTTGTTTACCCACTAACTTACTTTACTACTACCTTATTATACATTCATTTTTTTCAGAATATGATACGTATGGATATATGGTGGCCGTACTGAGAGGCTGGTGAATTTCGTCTGACCTCGTCATGCATACATTTGATACATACAATCCCATATAAGATAAGAATGGCATAAAGGTTACAAAGACCGGACGCATATATGTACATACACCGGAAACTTGTCAACAAGAATAGAAAGAGAAGAAAAAGGGCCATAATCATTACAAATTAACCACTTTTTGCATTCAATGGAAACATAACCATTGAGTGCTCTGGTATCCATCAAACATAAAGCCATCTTCTGGTCCCCTGTTAGCCTCACTGATAAAGTAATCCCATCTTTTAGCGTAACGTCGTTATGAAGGACATAAGCTGAACACTTCTATTTAACCCTTGTTGTATTTCTCGTTGAATGCATTCACAGCTAACACAGAGAACGTTAATACTGCCCCGAAAGAAAGATGTTATGTAAAGAAAGTTGTCACTTACCAATGGCAATCTGACGGTACAGCCAATTCCTTGAACTCTCATCCTGCACCGGAATGAATGGTCCATTAGCACCCCCCTTGAGCGTAATGCTCATACCAGTGCGCTCTTTGGAGATGGTTTGGATGTCGGTCAAGCGTATATCCCACTCAGTCTGGAGCTTCTTGGTGCGCACAAGCATTATCCGGTCGTATGTCAACATGACCAGCATGTCTCTGCCGGGAAGTTCCAGATGCGCAATATAATCCTCGCTGAAGTACTTGCCGTCGTCCGCTGTTTTGAGCCAGAACTGACCCAATGCCTCTCGCTGCGAATATGGTCGCACAATGCCGTCTGTTGCAATGAAGCGCGTGAGACGAACACGGTCCAGGCCCTCTGCATCAAAGACCGTAGTAGTGTTCCGTACACCTTCAGCAAGATCTATAAAATCGTCAGTAAATGAGATCCTTGAATCGCACAAGTGCACATACTTGATGCAAGATCAAAGGCGCCAATGGCCGGCTTCGTAGCAAGACCCAAGACACCCTTTCCAACACCCTTAAAGAACCCTTGGATACCCTCCTTTTCAGCGCCCTGCAGTGGATGACGTGCGAGTCCTCCGATACCGCTTGCTAGGCTGGTTGCAAATGCATTACCGCCAGCTGTGATACCATACAGTGCATGTTTCGGCCGGTTTCGGGATTTAGACATCCGCCGTTTGTCTTGGAACTCCTTGTCCAAGGTGGCAGCAGCAAGACCTTTAGACATGCTTCCGGTAAGTTTGGCCATGCTATCGGAGAATCCGAAAACGGACTTCTTTACAAAACTTGTGGCCCCCTTGGCAATGCCGTAACCAAGTTCTTGAGGCCTATCAGTCATAACCAGTCCTTGGTATGGCTCATAGAAGATTGCGGCAACGCCAGAGCTGACGTTATTGAACAAGCCAACGGGGTTCCCGAGGAAATCTGCCGACCCAAGGACGACATGCACTTGCCGGAGGAATTCCTGGGTATAGTGTCTCTGAATGTTGCCAACAAGAACTCCAAGCGATACACGAGCATTTTCCAGCATTAGTGCGTTAAGTTGAACAGGTGCATCATTGATGTTGCCCATCGACATGGTCATGACATTGACAAAGAACATCAAAGGATTCGATGGTTGCATGGTGTCCTCAGCGTTCACTCGCTCTGTCCGCATGAAGGAGATGTCAAGTTGCATGGGTTGCAAATGAAGAAGCTCGAAGTACACATCCTGTCCAGCACCTTCACTTTGAGGCTCTGGGATCCTTAGATCTTCATCACAAAGCCTTCCTTCCTGTTCTTCAGACCACGAGGCACCGGGAACTTTCACAAAGTCCAGCATTGCGAACACAAAATCCTCATCAAGCTCTAATGTCATCTGCTGCAGAAGCACGGTGGCATACTTAATGTAGAGTACACCATAGGAGTCATCCTTCACGCGTGTAATCATGGCGTGGAAAATCGGATGTGCCTCCATTTCCTTTCCGGTCTTTGGAACAACGCTGGGATACAACAAGATGGGGAAAATACCTCCATAAAGCTGATTGTCAATTTGGATCCACTTAATTGTGGTATTCAGCGTTTGATAAACCATGGATTCCCTGTATTTAATATCAATCTCGCGGAAAGTCAAGTATAACAGTTCTCTCATGTTCTGATTGATCAGGGAGATGCCAATACCACCAAGGCGGAGCTGAGCTTTGAAGTTAACGTCCGAATCCAACTCCTTAACCTCGAACCCGGTGCTCAGACTGCTTTGAGAGGTCTGTCCTCTTTGCTGTCTATACATGCTCTTTGATGCCTTGAAATTTGATAGGACTAGAGTCTGAGTCGGGCCGTCGGCCACAATATTGATGTCGACAATTTTTTGGTGTTCACCATATTGTGTTGGCGGTATCCTCATTGGTATCAGATTACCAATCTCGGCAAGCTTGATGTGTCTTTCTTTGCCATTACAAGTCAGAACGAGAGATTTGTTCTTTGTAGCTGGATAATCCCAGGCATATGGCATGATACTTCGAGCTGGAAGACGGTAGCGGATCGGCCGCCAACCATTTGTCCTGTCATCCTCGTAATCTTCCACGTTTGGATTCTGAGAGGAAATGTTAGATCAGTACATACGCTTTATCTCGATTCGTCCAGCTACTTACGGCTTGATAAAATATGAACTCCATGTCGCTCTCGTTCCGCATGGAATACGGCCAGTTTCGTGTTTCGAGGTTGAAATGCAGGAAAAGAGTTGCGTTTTCCATGATAATGTCCACTTTGATGAGTTTCTGGCGTTGATTTGCCTTGGCAAGCTTAATATGCACTGTACCAATGTCGGCAATGTTGAAAGGTGACGACCATTGGTTGTTGACTCCGGGGAAGCACAGACAAAGTTGTTTCTCGGCAACCTGGCGCAAGAAATGCAGAGGTACAAGATCGCCACTCTTGATATTAAGAACATTGGAAGAACCCGGTTCTCGAACCAGAATATCCTCATTAAGCTTGTTCTTCAAAACAAAACGAGGCGCAATGGTCACAACCTTGGTCATCTTGTATTTGCCTTCACCCTCAGCAACAGTCACGCCGGAATGGAACTCAGATCTGCCATGCCTATCTGGAAGGACAACTTCGAATGTACTCCCAATGGCTTCGAAACTCTGAGGCTTGCTCCAGGCAGAATCACCTATCCTCACTATGGATCGGTTCTTCTGGTCCTCGCTTGGATAGGAGTACATGTAAGGGAGCGTTCGTCCACCGTTCCTCGGATCAGCCCTCAGCCCCTGTCCAGCTGCCGATCGAGCCGATTGTAAGAAGCCTTTGCTCTGTATTTCCATCGAGAGGCCAGTCTTGTTTAAAACGAGATATGGACTGTAGATCGATACCTTGAATGCGCCTCCACTGTCAGGCACATTGAAATAGTGAAGCTTCAACCTCAGCTGGATGCCTCTTTCATCTTTCAGAGGCAGCACATGCTCTCTCCTGAAGTCTTGTGCGTTGCCGTTTATTATAGCAAAATCACTTTGTCTGAAGACAGTATCCTCCAAGTCGATGCTGAGAAGCAGTAGGTGGGATAGTTCCACGACATGGACTGGGCTTACGCCCCCTTTCCGTAAGAAATTAGTCCAGTCCTTCCTCGTATTTTTATCATAGATGCGGTATTTAAAATCGTAAGGCAGAAGATTTTGTATCTCCACAGGGGCGAATATCCGGACGCGCATGTACGGATATGTGCTCGTCAGAGGATCCCGCGAATTGAACGTGGCATTCATCTGGAAGTAGAATGGCGGCGCTTGCTGTCCACTCTCACTTATGCATTTGATTGTCCGAGTTGGTCGTCGCATAAGATCTTTCCAATGTAGCTGCTCGTTCGACCACTCATAGCCGAAGCCTTGATCAGGACGGATAAGAAGAGAATGCATGTATGCAGCCCCCACAGGTGCAGGCCGAGAGTCTCCAGGGAGGATCTTTTCTATTTTTAAAAGATGGCCGTCACGAGGATCGAAAACACCTAGTTCCACTGGTATTTGGGTATTGTTCTCTACAACCAGCGGAGAGCGGATAGTGATGTACTTGACGTTGTCGGTACCCAATTTAACCTCAACAAGAAGTCGATGAAGAATGCCATCCTTCTTTGGCTTCAGATTGTATAGAATCTCCCCTTCCCGAACAACAGGAATACGGCTCACGCTTTCAAAGCCACTCCCTTCAAGTTTGATACCGACAAGACCGGCATGACCTTCGGGTGCGAGTGTTTCACGCATGGCAGTCGAGTCTTCAAACCTCCAAGGATATTCCTCACCATCTGCCAATTTGGCCGCCGGTCCTTCTTCATCCGCATTAACATCAGCCCAAACATGAAGGTCAAAGCCTGTGTGGTTACGAATTCGGTACGGGGCGTCGGCTCCTCGTGGCTTTGAAAGAACGTCTTCATCGGTAGAGAGGAACTGAAACGACTTGGACGCCAGTGCAATTGTGGCAGAGGTAAGGGTGAGCTCC